CCTCCCCCAGCCACGGGCGCTGGGAGGGGGCTGCTGAGGGATCAGGAGCACCGTCCTGGAGAACTTGCGTGTGTATGCAGCCCCCAGGACCCCCGCTGCCACCCCTGGCCCTGCCAGCCGCCCGCCCTGGGCCGTGGACCCCTTGTTCGCTGAGCGCTATGCCCCGGACAAGACAAGCACGGTGGTGAGCAAGCACAGCCAGCCAGCCACGCCGACCCCCATGCAGAACCGCAGCTCCATTGTGCAGGCGGCGCAGCAGGCCCCTGAAGGGCCCGGCCGCACACCCCTCTGCTACAAGTGCAACAAGGTCATCAGGTGAGCCCTGGCCACCACTGCTGCCACGCCAGCGTCCTGGGCCCCGGCGTGGCTGACGGGGCTCTGTCCTGCTGCAGGGGACGCTACCTGGTGGCGCTGGGACATTATTACCACCCCGAGGAGTTCACCTGCTGCCAGTGCAGGAAGGTGCTGGATGAGAGCGGCTTCTTTGAGGAGAAAGGCTCCATCTTCTGCCCCAAGTGCTATGACACGCGCTACGCGCCCAGCTGTGCCAAGTGCAAGAAGAAGATCACCGGGGTGAGTGTCCCTCAGCCTGCCCCACACCTCCTGTCCCGGCTCCCCTACGGGTCCCCAGCTCTGTCCCCTCCCATCCTGATCGCATCCCCAGGGATCCCTTGTCCCTTTCTGCCCTGGGAGGGGGTCCGCCACAGCACAGGGTGGTCCTGCCCCTGGCTGACAGCAATTCCCCTCCAGGAGGTCATGCACGCGCTGAAGATGACCTGGCACGTGCAGTGCTTCACCTGTGCTGCCTGCAAAACTCCGATCCGCAACCGTGCCTTCTACATGGAGGAGGGACAACCCTACTGCGAGAGAGGTAGGCCCCGGGGCCGCCATGTGCCCACTGCGCATGGCCCCGGGGCACCGGGCACTGTTGGGGCTCAGCACCTGCCCACGGGGGTGGGGGGTGAGCTGCCCTGTGCTGCGGGGGCTCTCCCCAGGCCATGGGGAAGGCAGGGACTCGCCTCCCGGGGCCCTGAGCCCTCCATCCCGGTCCTCCTTGGCTGCTGGGTAGTGCCATCAGTCCTGTGTTGCCATGGCGATGATGGAGGATGCACAGCAAAGGCAAGTGCTGCATCCTGGGAGATGAGGTTTGCCTCCTCCCTGCAGCCCAGTGGTGGCCAGGGCCACCCTGCAGGGCACAGGCATCTCATCTGGGTCTCCCAGGCATCGTCCCCCCGGGGCTGGCAGCGAATTGTTCCCAGGCTGTGCCTGTGGGATCCTGGCTGTGCTGCAGCCCTGCTCCCCTGGGATGAGGGGCTGCAGTGTGGGGGAACGCTGACCTGGGCTCGGCCTCTCCTCGCAGACTACGAGAAGATGTTTGGCACCAAGTGCCGCGGCTGCGACTTCAAGATCGACGCTGGGGACCGGTTCCTGGAGGCGCTGGGGTTCAGCTGGCACGACACTTGCTTCGTTTGTGCGGTGAGCCATGTGCCTCCTTCCCCAGCTGCTGGTGGGGGCCGTGGCTCTCCCTGGCAGTTGTGCCCTGTGTGGGGTACACCAGCAGTGTGGGGTCCCTGCTGCCACGAGGTTTTCCCAGCCTGGCTCTGCACTGGTGGCTTGGGCCCCTGCTCTGAGCCTGCTGCTCCCTGGACTCTGT